CTCATTAATTCATCATTGGTCACGTGTTAGGTTACCACTAGCAACTCCGATCACAATTCATGCTCACATCGTCCTCAGTTGTCATAGTAACACAACAACATAGCGGTTGAAATATCAATATCTTATATGAATCAACTTAGCAGCCATGCAATCATATGGTGCAGCGGTTAGCTTTTGAAGCACGTGCGTATGGTTGTCATTAGCAACTCCAATCATAGGTGATGACGTTCTTTGGTTACTATAGTGACAAACACTTGCCTGTGCTGCCGTTGAGTGTATCTTCCTTTGCTTTGACGACGCCAATCGGACCGACCTTTTCTGCTTTGCGGTAGACTTGAGTGAGTGAGATAAATATASAGTGATATTTTAGTGCCTTAACTTAATGAATCTCTATCGCATGCAGTCTGGTTTATATATTTAAAGCTTTAACATGCAGGGGAATGATATTTAAGGGTTTGAGGTTATTTYAATTTCAAGTTTGATAAGAATTCAGCGGCCATTGATATCCCAGAAGTGCTTTTCGATCTCACTTTAAGTAWCCTGAGTTTATGACCTTGTTTTGGTTTGAACAGCATGCAGGGGTTATAACTAAAAAGCTATGACTGATTTAAAAAGAGACTTTGTCATTCCATTTTTGTTTCTATTTCAGAAAATCTAGCAAATCGATTACAAAAATTAGGAAAATTGTTTGAAAAAGTGGGAACCACTGAGAGCATTACGGAAGAACATATCGGTTTTATTAGGACTATCATGATTGAAAACGCATAACACACATGATCGTTCCAAATAGAACATAACACTATTACTTTTAAGCCAAATGAATTACCTAATAAATTAAACAAATGATAAAAATCAAAGATGATGAAATTCAGCATCGACAAAAAAAAAAATATAAATCGAACAAATAGTCACGATCCAAACAAATAGGATCGAATGAAGGATCAAAATGGAATAAATGATTATATGTTGAAAATAGATAATAAAAGTCTCACGAATGATAAAAATCGAAAATTAAAAAAATTACATTTATGAAAATCGAACAAAATTCGAATAAACGATAAAAATCGAACAAAAGTCAAAAACTGAACAAATGATATAATAGCACAATGGACGAGATCGAACAAATTATGAAATCGAACAAATGATCTGGAAAAAATCGAACGAATGATGAAATCGAACAAACGATCGTTACAAATTGAACAATAACATGATACTGTACCACTTACATACAACTTCTGGTTTATGGAATGGATCCAAGTCATCTTTGAACTCTTTGTACGTATTATGCRGTCGATCTAAATARTGTTCGACGRTGGACAACAACAAGGTTTTTAAGTTGTTTGCAAGTGCATAAAGTGTTTTACAGTTTTTACCTTTATTTGAATGATGCAAAACATTTCTATTTACAATATTTACAAAACGAGAAAGTTATCTTGAAAGAATGAATCAAGAGTTTAAGCTTTTTAGTGAGATAATCATTACTTTAAAAAGAGTTTTGTTTATAGATTTTTAAGTTTTCGGATTTATTGTTTATAAGCTTCACCAGTTAAAGACATTTAGTTTAGAAAGGTTTACCAAAATACTCAAGAGAGTGCCATAGAATACTAGAAASAACTCTTTACGTTCGTAAAATAGCGTTACATGAATAGATGTACAAGGAAAATTGAGGAAAAAAGCTAATGAACAGCTGATCATTGCAAAATGCTCGGAATCGAACAAACGATCATCGAACAAATGATCAAATAGAACAATAAATCGAATCTAGCCAAGAAAATCAAAGCGACTGTTGAAAATCGAACCAGAGAGAAAAGCTAGGGAAGGTGTAATGAGAAATGAAATGACAAAGTATTTTTGAAAAAAGACAGAATTTAAAAATATATTCAAGGTACGTAACATGCATACAATCAAATTATCAAGATCATGAAACTAATTGACAAGATATCGAGAAATTGATTCAAGTCGATCAATCAATCGACAATGGAACAAACAATCGAAAACTATCAATAGTTTTCATGCAAACTATATTTTCATGCCAGCTTATACAATACTCCAGCTTTCGTCGTGCAAGGCAAAGAGAATGAAAGTTGAAAGCAAACGAAAGGAAGGCAGAGAAATGGAGTAAAAAGAATTCAAGAGAAAATAGAAAAATATAGAGATGGAAGAGAAAAGAGAAAGAGAGATGATGTCTAAAGATGACAAAAGTAGAAAGAAGAGAAGGATATAGAGGAAAAGAAAGAAAACAGAAGAAAAGTGAATGTAATAAATGAGAAAAGAGTAGAGAAACAGAAAATACAAGCGTAATGAAGAGAAGACAAGC